TGAACTCAGGGGAACTTTGAAACACTTTGTATTCATATTTCTGATAATATAAGCTGTGAAACTCGGTCCTCTTCTTCTCTACCTTTGTCTATGGTTGAGACTATTGATCACTGCGTGTTAAGATGATGCATGACATGTACACATCTGCGTGAGATGGTCCACAGGACCCATGCACTAACAGAAACATCCTTCATAAAGAAGTCAAAATCGGCGCACTTAATCCAAAATCACATACCCGATTCACAAGCATTGCTTCAATTGCTGCTTTATTTGCTTGATCCAAATTGTCCCTCTTCGATTGCCCTAGTACGCTGGTACTCTGGATCTACCCAACCCCAACATCAAACAAAATCTACAAGATTTACTTATATATTAGCTTGTGATAAATTAAAAAAAGGTAGCCCAGTCATGAATAATGTGTATAGCTTTGGGAACCCGGAGCAAGCATAGGCGTCGGCTCGCTAGCTAGAGAAAGATTAATCACTACAATGATACTCTTTTCTATTTTTTGAAGCATCACTTCAGTTTCTGGCGTTGTGGTTATATGTGCTAGAAACCCAGTTCATTCCGTTTCATTTCTCATTTTAGTACTTTGTAATACTTCAGGTTTACTTGTGTTATTAGGTCTTGATTTTTTTACTATGATTTTTTTTTTAGTTGTTTATGTAGGAGTTATTGCTGTTCTATTTTTTTTTTGTGGTTAGGATCCTAAATATAAAGATAGCAGAAATTCATGAAAATGTATTATGTTAGCCAACATAGGGTCTCATGGTCTGAGGACACTTTGACATGTCCGCCTAGGAGATAATGATGGCACGTATTCAATGCTTCATAAGCGTTTCATTCTCGTTCATAGGTAGATGCAGCTACATTTCTAATGCCAATCGCTTAGACATAAACTCTATGGGGCAAGTCCCCTTGTCATTGTCTTGCCGGTGCAAAGATCCTGACACTATTTCACTTGCAAAACAACATGCACTTGAGAGCAATTAAATAAAGCTCACATGAGCTCAGCCATGAACAGTGCAAATTCGAAGTTCCACTCAGATACAATAATATACAATTGAAAAATCCGGAATTCGGCAGTGGCAACTGCTGAAATAACCCCCAACTCCCATCCTGACTTTCCCCTGTCCGATCCGCTGCTTTTCTCTCAGTTTCTCTCTCTCCCCCTCTCCTCTCTCACTTCTCTCTTCTTCTTCCTTCTCTGCACTGTTCACCCTCGTTGCTCTCCCTTTCTGTTTTCTCCTTCGTCTACATCCTAGATCTACCATGAATGCTACTGCTGCGTGTCTCTCTCAACATCAGGCGGCGATGGCCGCCAAGTCTGCTTCTCCCCCTCCTGGCTATGGCTGTCTCCTTCAGCCAGGGCACTGGGCATCTTCTCCCTTCAGCGCACTTCTTCGTCCAGGTCGCTAGTTCGCACAGCTCCAACAGCGCTCCACAAATTTGCGAAATGAACTGCCTCTGTCTGGTACTGCAGCCCAAAATATATTGTTTTCGTGGGCTGCACCTGCCTGCTTCGATTGGTACCAGCCTTCTTTTGCCTCTGCCCTGCCAAGTTGCTATTTTGGGAAGGTTCTCACCTTTCTTGTGAGGCTGCTGCAAAAACTGGACCTTTGGGGACTGGCATGATCCTACAGGTACTGTTCGTACAGACCTACGACAGCTAGACCTACAGACCCTAAGATTTAACTACCAGTAGGGCCTGCGGACTGCAATAATTGGGAACTCTGTAACAGGGACTGGAAGGTTTGCAGCGTAATCCATTCAGAATACAGCCCCTACTCCAAATTGACCAGCATCAGCCATGACAACAACCAGCAAGAACAATTCCTCTATCTTCAAAAAGGCATGCTCTATCAAATCCTGTTTCTATTTGCAGAACGCAGTAGTGTGGTTTTTGTCCCATTGCCACACTTCGCTAATCCAAGAAATAAACAGTAAGAGTCTTGGATGTCAGGCAATGAGGACGAATGGACTGGTGGTTTAAGTCGCTCGTCACACGATGGCCCAGGCCTGATTTTCTCTATCGTCCTGCTGAAGCTCAAGTGTGCTTTGTGCATGCCTGCTTGAACTGAGCCCACATTAGGTGCTTCATCCATCGCCCTTCTCCCACCAGATGCACCAGGAGTAGGCTGACTCTGAAGGTAGCGAGCACTCACAACTCACAATCAGATGACACTCAAGTACAATGCTCTTCAGAGGAAAGTGGAGGGTAGATAAGGTTCGGGATACTTACTTGATGCGCCCCCTGCCACGTATTATGTCACCAATTGCAATGACGCCCCGTTTGATGACCAGTGATTACTCAGGAACCGCCAACAATATAATGCTAGTACCGCCTTAAGCAGCGGCAAGCACCAACATAATCTCACCACATTGCCACATAATCCAGGAACCTTCCACCCATGCACTCACTACCCAGTGCATGAGTTAACCGGCAAAATCGTCAACAGCACTGCCCATACACACTCACCGACAACGGCATCACAAGACCTAATTCTCGGTCGGACGACGAGCGATAGATAACCCGCTCAACCATCTAATGAGAAAACAATTTGGAGATGCAAGATCCCACAGAAGACCAACCATGAATAAGCCGAGTTGAAAGCAGAATGACAAAGCACACTTAACAATCAATGCCCTGTATGAGCCTCCAACAATCGATAAAACAACAATGCACTAGCTCTACTATGATGTGTCTGCCTAGACTGCTCTCCTTCTCTACCTGCTCAAGCTAGCCTACCACCTCTCACATTCTCTCCCGACTATGCTCTCGACCAGATGTAGCTGAAAAGCCTGATGACATGAGGCGCTCCTCAACCAACACCACGTCTCTGCCGGTCCGACTGCGCTCCACCTTCCCATACCCCCGCCACTATCTTTCAGCTCTGCCCTTCCCTAGTTATGGCAGGAGCAGACAGGCAATCTCAGCTCCGCTGCCCTCCTCAAGGGCGCTCACTTGCTGCATGCAGTAGCTCTGCCCCACACCACTACTGCCAGAAAGTGTAGTCTGCCCCAGGCTGTCCTTTTGTTTAGTCTTCAGGCCAGGGTCTGGTTCCTGCAATAGGCACTTCCTACAGGTCTGGGTCGCAGCCAATGTGACTACGCTGCACGGTATCTGAGCTCGGCCAACCAGGCAAGTTACCTGGTCTGGGCTCCAACAATGGCCCTTTTTAAGGCCATGCCGGGCCTTCACTTGCAGCCCACCAACCTTTTTCCATGACCGGCCTCTTTTGAGGGCAGCCAAGGCCTGTAGGCTCAAAACTACGGCCCCCGGGAAGTTCTAAAGGTCATAGCAGATCAGAGTGGACCCTCTATGTAATAGACATCCCTCCACATCCTTATCCTGTATTTCGCACAAGTCGACAATTACCTTATACAGAGGACTCACGGTCTCTTTCTTCCAGGCCTAGGATCCCTCCTATGGATGAAGGATATGGAATTCATCATACTGTTGGACACAATTGGTACAAAGAAAAAACCTGGATCTAGGAGAAAACTTGGATATAATTGGTCCATAAGATCTCTATTTAATATAAATTCACGAGGTAACGGAATTTCTTTTGGATCAACTCCAGCATCTAACAATGCATTAATATGTATTTGATGTCCTGCCCAAGCCAGTGAAATCACCAGTACCCCGCCAAGGCAAAAACTTTTGATTTCCTGAATTCATGGAAGCTCCGTCCGGCAGGCCTGGTGGAGGCTCGGTAGAGCCTCGGACAGGCGCTGGTGGTCGGTCATTTGAAACAGAAACGAACGACCAGCACAACAAAAAAGAAAACAGAAATGGCAAAAAAAATAAAAAGAAGAAAGGGAAAGCCTTTCAGCAAGGCACGGATGGCGGCATCAAGTTCGGAACTGTGGTCACCTGACAGTGACACACGTAACTCGAGAAATGGGGCCTCGTTCTACAACTCTCAACGTGCACAAAAGACAAAAATCATGACGGTGTATCTTTCCATGTTATATGAAAATATTCACACTCGTTTTGACATTTCAAGAGTAGTGGAGCGAGGCCCACGCTCCAAATGGACAAAAATGAAAAGAATGGAAAGATAAAGCGGCACAGTTTTTGTCGTTTGTGCATGTTGGTGAATGGCAGCACTGCTGTCCCCTTGTGGACAATGGGGATGAATTTTGCGCTGCTTTGGGGAGGGATTTGTCATTGGTAAGTGGCAGAGTGAGGCCCATCATACTATGCGATCTGCCTGGGGCCTCACTGCACTGCTTTTTTTGTCTTTTCTTTTTTTCTTTTGCACTGCTGTCCCAATGGACAATGAAAATGAATCTTGACCTAGTTTAAGGAAGATACAGAGAAGATTAGCATGTCCTTGGGGGAATGATGAACCGCATAAATAGAGAACTGGTCAGGAAAGAAAAAAAAAAAAGATTCAGCGTTTTTTGTCTTTTGTGCATGTGGTGCGTGGTAGAGCAAGGCCCCTCATCCTCCACGATATGCCTGGGGACATGCTGCACTTCAGTCCCAATAAGAATGAATCTTCTGTTAGTCCGTGGAAAGATGCAGAGAAGATTAGCAAGGCCCTGCACATCCTCCTCTTTTGGCAGCCCGCCGCACATGGCGCTGAAGGCTACTCTGGCAGTGTTGGCCGCCCAATGGGAAAAAGAGAAAACATGCATGGAAAAAAGAAAGAAAAGAAAGACTAAGGGGAAAAAAAGGGAAACCACCACCGTAGAAGTACCAGCCCCCCGCATTGAACGACCGGTAGCCCACTATATCTCGACTGCTCACCAGCTACATTCACCTAAGCCAAACAGGTTCGGCAGCTTGCCAGAAAAAGGTTTGAGAAAGTAGCTGGGAAGGTACTGGTGGTATAAACCACCAGCACCTGGCCCATACATCAGCAGCAGGAAAAAAATAGAGTAGAAGCCTAGGCTACTAGAGTGGCCCGAGACCACTTGCCCAGCCGGGCCAAAAACAATTAAAAAAAAATAAAATGAAAATAAAAATAAAATATTTTTTAACTTTATTTTTCATTTGCAATTCGGTGAAGAAATTGGATGTGACCCTGAGGCAAAAGTTGTTCAGTTTATTTTTCTCCATAACCTAGTTTTTTCAGTTTTTTTTTTTTTTTTTTGGGACCCTCTTTGGCCCTTGCACGGCCGGGCCACCCGAGCAAACAACGTGACCCGGGCGGCCGGCTGGTAGCCTCGGATGAACCGACGTGCCAATGTATGGGCCCTTTCGTTCATCATTGTCGCGGCTTGTTAACCGCCGCGGCAGACAGGAACTCTACGAGACTGCCCCTGACATAGAGTCAGGTTATGAGAAAGGCCCCCAATGAATTGGAGAAGTAATAGCAAACCAAGAAGGAATTTCTTCGCTGGAGCTCAAGACTGGGATGGCGGGAGTGCAAGGAAACAGGGGCCAAAGGGCCATGGCAAACATGTCAAGGGTGGTGTCCCCAAACCAAGTTCTGGGGTAGAAAGTTAGTCTAAAGCGAGGAGTCGTTGGAGTAGTCTAAAGCGAGGAGTCGTTGGAGATGTCCCTCAAGTCAAACAAACTCGGTTATGGGGGCTCAAAAACACGCCCATGGCCTAGAAAAGTCGCCTCGGCCTTGAGGAAAAACTCAACAGTCAGGCCCAACCCTTCGGACTTAAGGGCAGAAGATTGGAATTACTCTAGAGGTGTGGTTGAAAAGAATGGATAACAAACTCGGTTATGGGGGCTCAAATATACCTTGAGGAAAAAATCAACAGTCAGGCCGAACACTTCGGACTTAAGGGCAGAAGATTGGAATTACTCGAGAGGTGTGGTTGAAAAGAATGGATAAGAATCTACACAGTGCTCAGTGCTAACCTCTCAACACTTTGCATACATGCACTCCAAACACAAAACGCAGAAGACAAGATGATGAACAATAAGCAGATAAGAATCAATGGAGGAGAGAAGGATAATAATTTCAATAATAATCAAAGATTGCAAAGTCAATCTTCTCCACCTCCTAGTCCGTGCACTTCCTCTCCAGTCACCTCCGCACTCTCCACTAAGTGTCTCACTTCAACCAACACCAAACACCGCTTATGTCTCACTACACTCCATCACAATGCCCCCCTCCTCAAGCGCTGCTGCTCCCAACCAAGGGCCTGACCTATGAAGCCTGGTGTTGGTTGACCTCCAAACTTCTGTCCCCGCCCACTCTCTCAATATAACTATGGAGGTAGGGCCGCGCTTTTGTAGTGGTGTCTTCGCCACTGATTAGGAATTCCTTGCAAGTCTTTCACTCCTCCAATACCATGGTATTTTACACCAGGCAAATCTTTGACTGTACCTCCGAATGGCTGAGATTTTCTTGATCCGTGCGGCCAGGATCTGGTCGCAGCTGGTATGTGCCTGACCCTTGTGCAAGGAAAATGAGCAACAGCGAGATGACAAATCCAGATTACATAATCACATTGAAAGCCAGATAGTTGCACCGTGTCCAGAGAGCAGCATTGCACCAATAATACACCAATGGAGGTTCGTAGTTCTGAAAACCAATGTCACGGAGAGCTTTCTCTCTCCTCACCAACACAAGAGTCCAGTCCCTTCACTCTCCTACTTGGCGCTCAGCGCCCAGCCTAC